ACCCGTTCATTGCTGTCATCAGAGTGAAGAGTAATTAGTGTAATTAGCTTCAGGTCTTCTTTCCACTCTGATCAGATCACTGTGTGGAGGGAAGAACAGAGAAAGCAGAGATCAGACTGCTTCACTTACTGCCTTTAATAACTGATTCAGGATCAGCTCTTAGGACTGCAGTGAATGTGAAGTAGCATGTTAGAAATGGAGGTTCTGTGAGCAGCTCCAGTCCCTGCTGCATTACATGGAGCATGTAAAGCTACATGCAGCCTCTGGCTGGAAACAGAGGCTGATGTCTGAGCTTGTTCAGTTTGATCAAAGTGCAGCGTGGAAAGCAGCTGAGTGAAGATAAGCAGATATCAGTTGTTCAGAGACAATCACACAGGAACAGGAGAGAGAGCCTTGAGTGCTGAATGATTATTAAAGATGGTTTATAATCTACACAGTAGATGTAATGAATATTACATTGTTATTGTTTAAATATTTAGACTTTTCATGATAATTTCGAGAACTTATCCTGTATAAGCAAATTACTTTCCATAATATGGCTCATGAAGCTGAAAATGAACTGAACTAAATCACTAAAACTTAAGCATCTCAGCAGAACTTTATATTCTCTAATATGATAAAGGCACTATTTCCACTCAGTCTAAAGCAACATAAACATCACTTTTGGGTTCATAAATTTCTGTGAATTCATAGTTTTGGAAGAAAATAATAATGAAACACTACAAATAAAATCACCACAAATGACTAAAAATGAACTAAAGTGGGAAAGTGTCCAGTCATATCTGCCAAGGGCCAGTGTGGCTGCAGGTTTTCATTCCAACAAAGCAGGAGCTCATACAGATCAGCTGTTTAACTGAGATCAGTTGAATAAACAAATAGAATCAGGAGCTTCTGCTTGTTTGGAATGAAAACCTGCAGCCACACCGGCCCTTGGCACCTATGACTGAACACTCCTGGACTAATGAATCACTGCAGAAATGTGTTCATGATGTGCTATGGGGTGTGTGTATGTATTCAAACTCTGTGTGTACCATTATTTATCATAATCAAATGTCATGAATCTCTCAGGCCTTTCCAAAGGCCCCAACAAGGTGTTTGATATCTTGGCAATAGTGGGAGTACATTTTGACCCATTAATGCAAAAAATATCCTGTGATATTGACAGGTGGTCTTCTTTGTACTTGTCTATGATGGGTAAGGTGAATGCTTTGAAAATGAGTTGTATTCCAAAAATTAATTATGTATTACAATCAATCCCGATGGAAATTCCTTTGATGTACTTTGATAAGATAACTAGTTCTTTCATTTGGAATGGGAAGCGCCCTCGCCTGAGCTTAAGCAAATTATAGTTTCCTGTTGATAGAGGGGGTTTAGGCTTACTGAAACTATTGCTGTATTAGAATGCGTTCACCCTACAACACCTGGCACATTGGTCACTTCCCCCTGAAAGAACTCCTCTTTGGTGTGGTATCGAGTGCTCTATTGTTGGTCCTCTCCCACTACTTCAATGTCTGTCTACTAAATTAACCCAGAAAAACACATCCCATTATTTTTTACTTACACTCAGCATGGTTAAAAATTGCTAAAATGTTCGATTTAAATCCCTACTTAAGCGCGTTCAAGTATATGGTTGAATCCAAAGCTGTGTATTGGAAGATCTCCTTTCTTATGGGCAGAATGGGTGGAAAAGGGTATCTATACTCTGGCTGATCTCTACAATCAGGATGGTTTGAAAAAATGGGTGTGAATATGTCAAAACTTTAAAATAATGTTAAGAGAACTTAGAGTATGACTTATACAATTTAAAATTCTGCATCGGGTCTACTGAACCCCTAACAGATTGTATAAGCTTGGTTTAAAGGATACAGCTGAGTGCTGTCAATGTGAGTCTGAGGAGTGTGGTGTTTCCTTAGAGTTTAGGAATTTTTGATGGTGCTTTAAAATTATATTTGTGAAGTATTAGGTAGTCAAATTCCTTTTGGTCCAAGACTCTTAGGGGATCCATTGGTGCTAAAAACCAGGGACAAATATTTAAAGATTTGGATTTAAACCAGTTTAATGATTGGTAGGCCAATCATCCTTAGAAGGTGGAAGGAAGTGGGTCCTCCATCATTTCAAGAATGGGTTGCTGAGATGGGCAAAGTAGCTGCATATGAAAAATTATAATTTAAATTGTTTGGCTGTTTAGAAGTGTACAGATAAATGGGGCAAATTTTTTACAATTTATAGGGAGTTCTTAAAGAAGAGTACCGTGGTGTGTCCACCCTTTGTTGTTGTTGTATTTTTTAGCTTTGTTTTCTTTTTATTTGTTTAATTTAAGACTTGTGTATCTATGATTATCTCTATGCTGAAACATTTACTGGAACTTGTTTGTTTATTTATTTGTTTATTTGTTTATTTTAATGATACAGAGCCTTGTACTGCACTGGATTAGGTTAGGTCATGAATGAAGTACTGACACAGTTGGGTTGGGAAGGGGGAGGTTAAAGAGTGTCTTGTTGTTGCAATAATACAAATATATGTGGCTAATTCTAGATAAAAATCAATAAAAAAAAGTGAATCATAAAAACATGGATCTCCATCTTCATCATGATGTGTTGATTTTATATTTTAGTCACAAAACTCAGAAAACCTCACTCGGCCTGTAGAGAGCGACAGCAGATCGTACTGTGTGTGCTAACCTTTTTCATTATTCTAGTTATGCTGGATCCTTATATCTGCAAACAGGGTTGGGATGAAGCAGAAAACTATTCAGAATTCAGAAATTAAGTATTTGTATTCAGTCCATGTTTCATTTTGAAAAGGCAGTATTCAGAAAACAGTTACTTTTCATAGTTTAGGAGACTTTTAGGATGTCCAGTAATCTTAAATAAAAACATTCAGTCTTTAAACTATAAATGCTTTTTTTTCAACTTTATTAAATCAGTGATAAATCAATGCGATGATCTAGATATTTATCTCAGTGTTTCTGAGGTTTTTTTGTGGGGTAATTTAACTGAACAGTCTCCTCAGTTGTGGACATAAATGACACACTGATGCATAAGCTAAGCACTTGCATGCATTTGAAGGAGCTTTTTTTGTGTTCTGTGCATTTGGTATTTGCACTGAGGAGTTGTTTATCTTGAAGCTCTGTTTAATGCTGTACTGTCACTGTAAGAAGTTTTACTCTGTCATTGTTGTGGGACTCTCAATCTGTGTGATAATGACTGAAACCTATTTATGTATTTACAGTTTAATATTCTGTTTTATGCATGTTTTATGTATGCATTACTCTACAGCACCTACTACTAGAATAATAAAACATGTTTTGTGTGTAACAAAATTAGCAACCAGAATTTACTGGTGTTTAAATGTTTGTTTACATAATTGCTTTTAGACTTTTAAAAATGCGTTAATAAGTTATTTTATGGCTTATAAGTGCCATTATCTCTGAAAATTTAAAATAAAGTGACAAATAGGCAGCGTCTACAGCTGATAGGTACTGTATATGATCAAGTTTCTCCGTGGTTTATAGCTGCAGAGAGGCTTTATAGCTCCATTTAACATAACCTGACTAAATAACATGGAACCTACTGAGCTGATAGGCTGTGGTGAACAAACAGAGAAGAAAAAGGAGGAAAAACAGCTATTAAAGCCATAAAAGCTCTCAGTTTAAGAGGAGTAAAGGAATGAAAGCAGGTTCATTCCATTTAGATGCTGCTGCCCTCTTGTGGTCAGAGAACAGATTGAATGTTTTGGATGTTCCAAATGTCTCCAGATGCAGTTTAATATAAAACCACATTCATAAAGAGCTTTTTCTTCTGTCTTTAACATTACAGTGTAGAACAACTCTCAGTTTAATAGAAGTATAAAGATTTAATTTTAAAAGAAATATACAGTGTTCTGAAGGCCTGTAGACGGTTACTGGAAAAGTGAATAAAAATGTTCCTACATTAGTGTCAGCAGTGCTCTGCATTAGAAACAAACACTGATAAGATACTGACAGAGCTGTTATAATGTTATCAGTAACTACAGTGTAATGTTCACTGAGGCTCTACTTTTGATTCCACATTTACTTCTATGACTTTGCTGAACATCAACAACATATTTCAGAGCTTAATTGTGAGTCTGAAAGTGTTGATAAGAGTGATAACAGTAGTGATGTTAGCTGAGCTGTGTTTAACACTCATTGATGCTCTTCTCCCCAAAAGACTGTGTGAAGAACACAGCTGCCTGATGAAGAACCTCCTTCATGATGATGATGAAGGTGTGAGTGAGTCTTTCACTGAATGTTCCTGCTGTAACACTGAGTTTAGTCTAAAAGAGGCTCCATCAGTGAACTTCACTCCCTTTTATTAGTATTAATATGATGGATTATTGTCTAGTGTGCATATATGGAGCGTTAGCTTGTGAGGAAAAACAGTCTTAAGCAGATCATTCAGTTTCCTCATATGAGAACAGGTTTCTGCCTGCTGTTGTTATTCAGCTTAGAAAGTCAATGAATCATGTCGTTCAGATGGACTGAATTGAGAAAGAGCTGCCAGATATTTACAGATATTCCCACATTGAACTCTGTCATTAAAGTCTAAATGGATTATTTCCTTTAGTTCTGCGAAGTTCATCACTGAATGTTTTCTATGCATTTAAAGCAGAAAAGAAAGAAGTGCTAACCTGCCCTGCCTGCATTTATAAATCATATCATTTTCATCATTTCTTGACATACCATAACGGTTAATAGTCCTTTCTCTTTCTGTTTAATCACCACTTTTATCATTACTGAGATATTCTGAAAGAGAAAGAAAGAAAAAAACTGTCACTGTAATGAACAATAAAACTGAACTTCCTAACTGAATATGTAACATCACATTGTTATAACTGTTTGCTTTTGTTTTAATATTGACATGTAAATCATTAGAGATCATGATGGAAACTACATATTTTATTTATCTACTCTCTCACAGTCTTCTGATTAACTCTGTCCTCCCTGTCTGTTTCTGATAAAGAATTTTTTGGGGGGAGGATTTGGAAAAATTGCTGTGCTGGAAATCCTCAAATCAATCTGGCAACCCTGACTGGTTCTCAAACACAGCTGCTGGGATGACGGTGGAAGTGGAAGTGGGGAGTCGTGGGTAAGATTAATGGTTAAACTCGGCCTTTTTATCATGGATTTGCTGTTATAAGACAAAAATCTGATATGAACTGATTTAAAATGTGGACCCAGTTCACCTACAGCAGCGATATGACTGTGTGAGGGACGGAAAGGTAAGAGCAGTTAGCAGCATGCTAACCAGGATAAAGATCACTGCGTATCTTGGGCTGGATGGAAACCTGCGTGGAATAGGGGGAAAGGGGGAAAAGTAAATAAAGCTTACTTAAATTAAGCCAATAGTTTAGAAATTAGAAACAGTAATTTAGAATGTACATGACTAGTTTTGCTTATGAAATCATGTTTCGTGGTCTTTATATGGATATGCAGGTGGTTATAGAATTGACCATGTAAGTGAAGCTGTTCCTAGAGCATCTACAAGAAGGCCTACAAGAAGAAATAAAAATGGCAACTCCAAGCAACAGTAAGTAAACATTTCAAGATGTATTCCCATTTTACATTCCTGTATGTTTATATTAACCTGCAATTGGCTTTACCGTTTCAGATCAGAGGGAGTTCATTTCGTCATTTTCCTACACAGGTGATTTTAAACTCACTGGCCCTCGTGGTGATGATGAAAAATTTCAGCCTGGCTCTGCTCTCACTCTCCCCTGTCACCTGTCCCCTGAAATCAGTGCTGTTTCCATGGAGATCAGGTGGTTTAAGGGGACGGACTGTGTTTGTCTCTATAAGAACAGGCAGGTGACAGAGGGGAGTGGCTACAAGGGCAGAGTGAGTCTGTTCACTCAGGAGCTGCAGAGAGGAAACGCCTCCTTACAGATCAGAGACTGCAGAAGGTCAGATAGAGGATATTATCTTTGTCAGGTCACCAATGGAGACATAACAGAGGAGCTTACTATAAGAGTGTGGATGAGTAAGTATTCCAGAAGTTCACCTACATAAACATCTAAATCATCATCATCAGCGTTTCATCTCAGAATGAAAGATGAAAAGACGGAAATGAGAAACACAGATGTTTAGAATGTTGTTGTGTTCAGATAGAAGGAGGTAAAGCAAACAGAGGATAAATGATGTTAGTGTGGAGTGAAGGACAGATGGAGCATTTCAGTAGAATAAACAGTAACTCTGTTTCTCACTTTAGTACATACATCCACATTATAGCTGCTTAGTGTAAAAGTCAGCTGTGTTTGAAGGAGTTCTAAAAGAATAACAAAACTGGATGCCCTGCGATGGGCTGGTGACCTGTCCAGGGTGTATTCTGCCTTCTGCCCAATGACAGCTGGGATAGGCTCCAGCACTCCACCGCGACCCAGAAGGATAAGCGGTTTAGATGATGTATGTATGTAAAACTGGATTTCTCTAAATTAAAACTAAATGAGGAACTGCTACATGCAGTGAAATTTGCAGGGTGCAAGCTGTGGACAGGGTTGCAGAGTTGAATGATTGAAAGCATTGAGTGACTGTATTTTTGCAGTTTGGATGTGCAAAATCAAGTATTTCAAGTATTCTAATTGTAAATTACATGGTTTTGTCATGCAGTTTATCTAACACTGTGTTCCCTTTTGTTGTTTTACACAGGTCATCCCTCAAGGGTAAGTAAATATGTATACATTCTTCTTCCACTGATTGTGATAGCTGATTTTTTATTCATTTTTACATGTGAAATTTAAATTCAGAAGTCAAGCAGTCACATACAATTGAGCTTAATCTGATGAGCAAGCACAATATGATGTTCTTAGGTGGCTCAATTACATTAACCAGAATAGCCAGTCATACTACCCGGACAGCACTTCTGAAGCCCCTTCTAAAACGTGGAGTATATGGCGAGTGCCGCAGTATGGTAGGTAACATCACATAGAAATGACTAGAAGACAAGTTAGCTACTTAGTTTGCAGTTAGTTTGTTAGCCTGTGTAGCCAAGTTCACTAATGTTGGTTCACACTGTTTGGATTCTATTCAGAAGAGCTACCTTTCAGTCTTTTTTCACATAAAATTACTTAAAGTAAAAGTATTAAATCTGTGTGATCCTAGGACCATCATTTTAATGTTGACACAGGGACTTTATCATGGGGCAGTATATGCCCCAAATTCCCTGTGCTGTTCATCTACTGAACTAACCCCTTTCCAGTGTGTGGAAATCCAGGGACTGCTGTTTCCCTGGATTGCCTGCCCTGCTGAAGCCCAACTACAAGAGGATGTCTGATGTCCAAAGGTCCTGGCTGATTGGGGCCTGTGGTGGTCCATGCAAGATCTCTGCTTGCAACTACCCTACCAGAAATTTAGCCCAAACTTTGTTGGCCATTTCAAAGTGCTGGTGACCAGTGACCTAGGGGACCAGTGACTCAAGGTTTAACGCCTTGAGGGCCGCAAGCAGTGCTTGGTGGATCAGGGGATATCCAGCCCCGATGAGCAGTGCTGGATCCTGGCTGCAGACATTCCAAACCCGAGACTTACCCAAGGCACCTGGACCATCCTGCTCCGATGCCCCGGGGCCACCGCCTATGTGGCATTACTCTGGCGATCAGCCTCGCCAGTCTACTGATCACCAGCCCGCCTTTCACTCATAACATCTGGCATACAGCTGACTAAAATAATGGACTGGTCTACATATACTGAGCATTCATCAGTATTTTTGCAAAGTCACTTGTGTTTGCGCCAAAGTTTACATTTCAAGAGTCTAGTGATTTTCCTGGTTTAGATCCATGTTGCCATTTCTGCATGACCTTGCTTTAGCCTAGCTTCTGACAGCTTGTCCCAGTTTTGATGTTTAGACTATTCCTTGCCTTCATTTTTGGAATGTGTGTGGATTGATATGGATTTTTGAAAATCATTTATAATTTAATTTTTTATAACATAATAATTTTCTGTAAATTTATACAGTGAACTTCTGCACATTTTTAGAGCGTTTTGCATATTGTATACATTTTTTCGTGTATGGTGTATCAGCATTCATGACACCTTCAATCAAAACTAAATGATCAACTCCAGAATTATACTACAGAACTTGCACACATCTTCCACCAAGCTTGACTGATTGTTGTAGACAGGGTTCAGAGAAACTTTCAGTGTTTCACAAGTGTACAACCCCATTTTCAAAAAAGTTGGGCTGTGAAAAATGTAAATAAAAACAAAATGCAATGATGTGCAAATCATTTAAACCCTATACTTGATTGAAAATAGTGCAAAGACAACATATCAAATGTTGAAAGTGAGAAATTTTATTGTTTTTTGAAAAATATATGCCCATTTTGAATTTGATGCCAGCAACACGTTCCAAAGGGGGCAATAAAAAACTGGTAAAGTTGTGTAATGCTTAAAAAACACCTGGTGGTTAATTGGCAGGTCAGTAGCATGATTGGGTATAAAAAGAGCATCTCAGAGAGGCTGAGTCTTTCAGAAGTACAGATGGGGAGGGGTTCACCACTCTGTGAAAGACTGCACAATCAAATAGTGCAACAATTCAAGAGTAACATTTCTCAACATAAAATAGCAAAGAGCCTTTCATCATCTATGGTACGTAATAACATTAAAAGATTCAGAGAATCTGGAGAAATGTCTGTATGCAAGGGACAAGGCCAAAAACTAGTATTTGCTGGCCGTGATCTTTGGGCCTTCAGACGGCACTGCATTTAAAACAGACATGATTCTTTAGTGGAAATCTCTGCATGGGCTCAGAAAACTTCTGAAAACCACCGTCTATGAAAACCGTTTGTCACTGCATCCACAAATGCTAATTAAAACTCTTAAATGGAAAGAGGAAATCATAGATAAACAGGATCCACAAATTCTGCCACCTCCTCTGGGTCCGAGCTCATTTAAAATGGACTAAGGTGAAGTGGAAAAGTGTTCTGTGGTCCTACAAATCAACATTTGAAATTCTTTCTGGAAATCATGGACACTGTGTCCTCCAGGCTAAAGACCACTCAGCTTGTTATCAGCACACAGTTCAAATGCCAATATTCATGATGGTATAGAGGTACATTAGTGCACGTGGCATGGGTGACTGGCACATCTGTGAATTCACCATTAATGCTGAACGATATATGCATGTTTTGGCAACATATGCTGCCATCCAGATGACGTCTTTTTCAGGGAAGGCCTTGATTATTTCAGCAAGACAATGTCAAACAACATTTTGCATGTATTACAACATCATTGCTCCGTATTAAAAGAGTCCGGGCGCTAAACTAGCCTGTCTGCAGTCCAGAACTGTCACCCACTGAAAACTTTTGGCACATTATAAAATGAAAAATACAACAAAGGAGACCCTGAACTGTTGAGCAGCTGAATCCTATGTTGAGCAAAAATGGGAAAACATTTCACTTTCAAAACTACAGCAGTGTCTCCTCAGTTCCCAAACGCTTGCAGAGTGTTGTTCAAAGGAGAGGTGATGCAGCGCAGCGGTAAACATGCCTCCGTCTCATTTTTTTTGGAATGTGTTGTTGGCATCAAATTCAAAATGGGCATAAATCTTTCAAAAAACAATAAAATTTCTCAGTTTTAACATTTGATTTGTTGTCTTTGCACTATTTTCAATCAAGTATAGGGTTTAAATGATTTGCACATCATTGTATTTTGTTTTTATGTACATTTTGCACAGTATCCCAACTTTGGAAATGGGGTTGTACATACTAAGTAAGAAATTTGGCAGCGAAGGTGTGTTTAGGTAGTTGCTTCTGTGAATAATAGTATATTTGAAAGGGAACATAATCTCAGTGACTCCTTTGGGAACAGCTTTTGAGAGGACACAGCAGGATAGAAGGATGGGAGAGTTAAAGTGGCATTAGGTGCAAAAAAGAAAATAGTTGTCAAATTAAATACCGATAGGTTGAATATTAAGCTTAGTGTTGGAGGCTTTTATGTATTGTTTCAATGTTACGTATATAGATTTTTGGTTGAATGTTGGTCACATTTATCTTTGAAAATAGAAAATGAGACAAGCTAGTGTTAACAGTTTCTGCCCAAAACCTGGCTACGTTTTGTATATTGGCAATTACAGATTACGTACCCCCCTCCCCTCCTTCTTTTATGATGGGATAGTCTGTTAGCTCTGCATACTTAAAAAAGATGGTCTTTCAAAGGTTCTTAAGTAAAGCCAATGGTGCTGTTTACAACCATGAGTTTTATATGGAGTTCTATATAGCATTAAAAAGGGTTCCTCTGTTGTTACAAGCTTGGCTTCATAGGAATAGCAGAACCCTTTTTGGCGTTATAGAAAACTATTTTCATTTAAACATGATCCATCCATAAATAGAACCATTATCTTCACTTAAGAACCCATTTTTGATTTTGTGTGTACATGATGATCTACTGCCCTCATTCGGAAATGCTCGGTTCATGATTTTTCTTCCAAATTGGACTAGTTTGAAAATGCAGTCTCTAATGCAAATTAGAAAATTGTGGGATGAAAGTAAGTTTTGGGCTACTCTTAAAATGTACCACGTCTGTTTAAAGGGCTAGATTGGGTTCTGTGGAAGATAAAATGTAATTGTTTCATTAAACTTAATTTCAGATGTCACGTTTGTTCACTAATCTGTTCTTCTTTTCCAGGACAGAGACTTCTTAGTCCGGCAGGTCAGTGCACTAATTAGTAAATGCCATTAACTCATGAAACATGTATATCCTACATTTCTTTTCCATTAAAATTTCTCCCCCTGAGCTCAACTTATGACATTTATGTGGTTAAGTTCTAAAAACAGTCATAATTCATTTTTACATGATTATCGTCTAACCTCTCTTTATGCCTTAGAATTGAACAGGTTGTTTTTGTCACTGTGTCTTTAAGAGCTGTATATTTAAACAGCCTCTTTTCTGATTGGCTGATGTGCATTGGGCCTCTGTAGGCTGAATAGTTGGATACATGTAAATAAGTTGATATGTTTGACATCACAAAAATAAATTCAAAAGAATGTTTTTGGAAGGTTGTGAACTCTGTGAACTCGTGAACGTTGCATTTTGAAACGTTGACAATGTTTGTATGCCACATCAAGCTCTATGTATTAGATATGGAGACAGAAGAGGCTTGTCCTTAGAGTAATTAAGGGACAGAGACTCACTGGAAAATGGAAAACAGATATAAACTGGTTCAGCAGAATTAATATGTTATATGAATACATGCCTATAAATTGATGCAAGATGCTGTCAAACACTGATATAATTCTCCAAGTCATCAGTACTGAACAAGATTTGTGTTTGCCTACTGAAGTTTTCTCACTCATGTTGGAGCATGAACTTGACTGTGTTTAGTAAACCAACTAAAATAACCACGAAGACACATCGCTAACCAAAGATTGTAAAATATTTGCATTCTCAACTTACTTTCATGTCATCGCTGCTGTCTAGCTGAATCTTTTCAGTCTCTTCTGTCTCCATATCTGATAAACAAACACTTGTGAGCACTGTATGGCTCATCCTCCTTTGGGAGGGTCGGGTGGGTTGAGAGTAGGGATTCATCGGAAAAAAAGGTATAAATAAACTTTTAACATTTTTTGGTACAAATCGAAAACTGGAATATTTTGATTAAAAAACTAAATATAAAATGTAATTTGTGTCGGATATTGTTTTCTGTCAGAATCCAACCTAATAAAATCATGGTTGTCCTCATCTGTTACATCCTGCTAGAAAAATCAGCATGGACCACCATAGGTGGTCACCACCAAAATCAGCATATGTTGTGTTTTGGATGCCAGTATGCTGGACTGCAGCAGTGGAAGCTGTTATGCTGATCACCAGCAAAACCATCATATGTAACGGTTAGAATGCTGCTATGCTGGTCGGTCAGCATGAGCAAAGTTTGAATGTTAATTGTCTCTCTGTTCAAATCACTCAATGTCTACGAGTTGTCTGATAAACACACTTGTGAGCGCTATAATTAAGTCCTGTCCACGTTGGGGGATTCATTGTAAAAAAGGATGTATTAATGGGTACAACGTTTTGTTACAGATCAAAATCAGCATTGATGAAATTATGATTACGTTCACTGTAACGTAATGTTTATCAGTTTACAGTAAATGCATATGTTCCTCAGCTCTCTGCATAATCCAATGTGTTATCAAATACAATATCAGTTTAAATCAGCTATGGTTAGTAGAGATATTAAGTTATTATCACCTCGCAGTGATTCATAATGACACATTAACAGTGTTTTAAACAGAGAAACAGTTTTTGGTTATAAATGCATGAAATCTTAATGCTGTTTTATTCACTTCTACAGTGGCACAGTGAATGGACAGAAGAGGAGAGACTGAAAATGGAGGAATCTGTTCTGCTGACCGGTAAGGATGAAAATACGTATTTACATTTGTACAATCTGGGTTATGTGATGTGTTTTGTGGTCTGCTACTGAGTTTCGGAAAACCAGACTTTTGAGTGATATTATATCATTACATGATATTTTCTATGAAAGAAAATCTATTAGTCAGCGAGTGCTTGCTCTCTTTTATTTCTTTTTTTAAAATTTTTACCCAATTTTCTCCCCAATTTAGTCGTCTCCAATTCCACCCGCTAGTTAGGACTCCCCCAATCACACAATACTATCAACACTAGGAGGGCGAAGGCTAACACAGGCTTCCTCCAAGAACTGTGAAACCAGCCACCGCATCTTTTCGAAATGCCGCTCACCAAATGTCACCGGACAGCTGAACGCGCTCGGAGGAAAGTGCCTGTGCTGACTAGAATCGCGTTGAGTGATGGGGGAGAAGGAGGAGCCATCCTGCCAACCCAGAGAGAGTGAAGCCAATTGTGCTCTCTTGGTCTCCCGGCTACGGACGGCTGTAGCATCACCAGGGATCGAACTCACGATCTCCTGATGACGGGGCCAACGCTTAGACGGTTGCGCCACTCGGGAGCCAAGTGCTTGCTCTTTTGATATGAATACCAAATCCAAAGACAATTCCAACTGTACATGTGTAACAATCGATGACATTGAGAGGAAACAGGATGCAAGTGGGTTTGAGTAACAAATGAGTAATGAGCTGCGTAACAAATGCTAGGAACAAAATACACAAACCCAGAGCAAAGAAAAAACAATGGCAAGCAAAGAGCAGGACAAACACAAGGGGTATAAATACTGGAGTAAACGAACAAGCAATGCATAGGAACAATTACAGGGCAGGGACACAGATCAGACACAAGTCATGGGCATGACTAAAGGAGCTAAGATGGAGTAGGAAGTGATCAGAGACACGAGTGAAGGTAAATCAGAAGGGAAAACAGACAAAGACAAGGCTGGGCAGGGTCTTACAACATGAAACCAAAATAGTAGTTTTTTAGTGAGTGAGCTCTGTAGGTGCTAGGGTGACCGTATTTGGGTTTTCAAAAAAGAGACACTGGGCGCTGGAGGGCAGCAAGGGGAAGACCGTAGAACACAAATGTCAACATGACAGCAAAGCCCAATCTCAGACATTTTAGACATTTTCGGAATCTCGGGCATGTGTTTTAGGTCCCAGGAAAAGGACATGTCCTAGAAAAAAAGGATGTTTGGTCACCCTTGTAGGTGCTAATTCAACACTGTTTTTGTCTGTACCCCATACGTGACAAAACAAATGAATCTGTTATATCTATTTTAAATTTCAGAATTAAAAGAAGAGAGGCTTTCTATACTGAAGAACTTAATGAGCTTAGTTGAAGAAAAGAAAGCTCAGGAGGAAAAGCTAAAAGAAGCTGAGACTGAACTGGAGAACACAGCCAAACAAACAGACAGCAAAGAAGAAGAATTAAAAGAGGAAGAAAAACAACAAAAGGAGAGAAAGAACATCAGAGAGATCAGTCTGGAGATGAGAGAGATGCAGGAAAGAGGAGTGAGAGAAAGAGTGGAGATGAGACAAAGAGAGGAAGAGGAGATCAGAGGAAAGATGAGAGCTGTTGTGGATGATTTGAGGAGCTCAGAGGAAGCAGTTAACAAGATAAAGGAGAGGATAGAACAGCATGAACAACAAAAAGATGAATATAATAAAACGTTATCAGAGGAGGGAAATGAAGACAAGAGGAGAGAGCTGAAAAGAGAAGTGGAGAGAGAAGATGAGCAGATGAAGGAGGCTGAAGAGGAGCTGAAAAGGATGCAGGAGGAAAGGAGGATGATGGTTAAGAAACTCAGACTGGAGATGGAGAACAGTGAGAAGAACGCAGTAAAAGCAGACACACACTTCATCAGGAAGCTGTCTGAACAGAAACAGGAAGAGTCTGATAGTAAGACAAATGAAAAAGAGAGAGAGATAGAAACACCGAAACAAAACCTCTCAGAGATGGAGAAAGAAACAGAAAAGCAACCAGAAGACAGAAATAAGAATTTAGAAAAGAAAAACAAAGAGCTACAACAAAAAGACGCAGAATTAGAAGAACATACAGAGACGATAGAGTAAAAATAAAATAATAGATGAGAAGAATGAACAGCTGAGAGAGAAAGAGACTCTACTGGAGATCACAGTGAAAGAGGTGGAAAGCAGTAAAAAGCAGCTGGAGACTCTGAGAAAGGAGCTGCAGGACAAGAGCAGTGAACTACAGGAGATGATGATCCTACTGGAACAACAGAAAACTGAACTGAGGGAAAAAGACAGACTGCTTGAAGAGAAGGAGAGACTTCTTAGTGAGAGAAACACACAGCTGATGGAACGAGACAAGCAGGTTGAGGAGAAAGACAGACTTCTAGAGGAGAGAAACGAGCAGCTGCAGGAAATAACAGATCCACACTCAGCAGCTCCAGCCTGGAGAAGAAGAAGGAGCATAGATGCTGAGCCTCCAGAAAGTGAGTTGAATAATTAATGAATACATTTTAATTTAATTAAATTTAAGAACTGAGCAGGAAAAATGATGTTGGGAGGAAGTAGTTTTTTAGATTTGGATTTGTATCAAATTGAACACAAATCGTGTAAATATAGATAATTATTGCTCCAAATAAAAGGAATGTGTTATATTGCCTGAAAATCACATTTACATAACTGTTTTATCCCAGATTTAGTCAGTCAGCCAAGTCATCTTTAAGCTAACAGGTAATGGAAGATTAGCCAGCAATTAGCATTGTGTAAAATCATTAGTATGTCTAAATCATTATACACTTGGTTCAAATCACATTGTTAGGTTTTTAAATAATCTATAATAGACTTGCTTATGTGATTTCTGGACAAGAAAATGATGTGTAGCTAACATCAGTCAAGGCAGCTGTCTTGTATTCTGTATTTTGTTTGTGCTGTTGTTAATTTTTGTAGACAACATTATGTTCTGCAGCTTTAGAAACCACAGAAATAGGCAACGTTTAGACAATGAATGTGAACTAACCGTTTGACTACAAGGTAAAAGGGAAGTAAACTTTTGTCAGTTTGATTTTTCTTATTCAATTCCAGTGGGTGGAGAATCCTCTAGTGCTGCCTCTCCAGTGTCAGTTCCTGTAGCAGAGCTCAGGCTGGTTCTGCTGGGGAGGACTGGATGTGGGAAGAGTGCAGCAGGAAGCACCATCCTGGGCAGAGAGGAGAGGAGTCAGGCTGGAGCGTCTACAGTGAGGCAGCAGAGTGAGAGCAGACAGGGGGAGGTGGCTGGGAGGCAGGTGACTGTGGTGGACACTCCTGACTGGTTCTGTCCTGGACTCTCTCTGGAGGAGCTGAGACAGGACGTGGGACTCTGTGTCCGTCAGTCTGCCCCAGGACCCCACGCCTTCCTCCTGGTCATACCAGTGAAGCAGCCTACAGGAGAGGAGAGAGGCCTGCTGGAGAAAATGGAGGAGATTTTTGGAGAGAGATGTTGGAGGAGCACCATGATCCTTTTCACTGTTACTGATGAAGTCCAAGAGAAGAACATTGATGAGTTTATCCAGTCAGGAAACCAGGAGGTCCAGAGACTTGTAGAGAAATGTGGGAACAGGTTTCACTGCCTCAACATTAAGGAGAGTGGAGATGATTCTCAGATCTCAGAGCTGCTGGAGAAGATGGAGAAGATGGTGGAAGGAAACAGAGAGAAATTCTACAGCAGTGAGATCTACCTGGAGACAGAATCTCAGATCAGAGAGATTGAGAAAAGATTCATAAGAGAAAGAGAGGAGATAAAAAAGAGACAAGAAAGACAAAGTAGACAGAAACTTAAGAGATGTGAACAGGAGACTTTTATAAAGTTCACAGAATCAAATGCTAACTTTCATGCACAAATAAATCAGCATGAAGAGCAAATAACTAAGCTTGAGAGAGAGTTAGAAGAGGAAAGAGATGAGAAGAGAAAAGTAGAGTTGGAGAGAGAGGTGGAGAGAGAGATTCAGCAGAAGAATGAGGTTCAGTTGGAGCTAAAAAGACTGAAAGAAGAGACTGAAAAGGAGAGGAGAGAGATGGAGGAGAGACACAGACAGGAGATGGAGGAGATCAGGGAGACGCATGAAGGAGAAGCCAGAATGGAGACTGAGAGGAACCTCATGAAGATCATCCTGCCTGAACTCCAGCAGAGAATCTGGGAAGTCATAACAAAGAAACAGAAAGATTTTGATTGCAAGATGGATGAAAAGGAGAGAGAGTTAGAAACACTGAGACAGGGACTCGGAGAGGGAGTCAGAGAGGGAATCACAGCAGGAGGAGACGATCATGAGGAGGACACTAGAGGACTGTTTAGCAGGTTAACACAGGTGTTCTTTTGGTGGACAGGCAGAGATCCAGTTATAATCACTGGGTCAGATCAGTGAGAGCTCCTGACCGACTTTCAGTCATAGCAGATGCACTGGTTTCTCTGGGGTGCAAGGAGTGATGTAGTTCGAAACATTAATTTGGGCCAAGAATGAGCAGTTATGCTACATGCAAACACAGGGCACAGAGATCAGACTGCTTCACTTACTGCCTTTAATTACTCATTCAGGATCAGCTCTTAGGGCTGCAGTGAATGTGAAGCAGCTCCCACTGCTTTGGGAGCCACAACATTTTATGTCCATGTTATTGAAGTAACATTTTACCATCTTGGCTCAAAATATGTCTTAATATGCGCTAGCTTATGTCCTGGTATATAAAAAAATAATTTAAATGCAGACTTACTTTGCTCTGGTTCAAGCTCATGTTTTGGTGTTGATTGTGCGTATGTGTATATTTTTACATTTATTTTATGTTTATATTTTCAACTCAAGCATGTGATGTTTCTCATCATCATTAAACAATCTTTTCATTTTCTCAGCATGATGTGTTCATTTGATATTTGTCACAAAAACTCACTCGGCCTGTAGAGAGCGACAGCAGATCATTCTGTGTGTGCTGGTCTTTTTCATCATTCCAGTTACGCTGGATCCTTATATCTGCACGTCAGCTGATTTGGAAGAGCAGAAATGTGCCATGGGCTACTGAAACTCTCTTATTCTCGTACAGCTCATTCTCTCTCAACCACAAATAGGTGCACGAATGCAAACACATGCAGGAACAGATTCAGGTAAATTGATCTACAAAAGTACAAATCAGGGTTGAGCTCTTTTTCTGTTTCTAAAGACCAACATTAAATCTTTTTTATCTTACATTTAAAAAAGATTCTCCAATAGTTCTTTAGTAAAAATGATTGTATATAGTACTAAAAACGCCAAGCTTATAACAATAGTAGAACACTTTATAAAAAGTTTCTGTATAGAACAATATTCAGCACATTCTCCATTAATTTGAAGAACGATTTAATCATGCAAAGGGTTCTTCTAGGGTTCATAGTTCTATATAGGACCATTTTCTGTACTAAAGAACCCTTGAGGAACCATCTTTTTAAAGTGTGCACTATTTTATACTTTCATACAAACACATTTTTTAATTGCATAACAAATGCCTAAAACTCAGTGCACTGTGGGGAGATGATGAGTGTCTGTAAGAGAGTGGTGGGAACCAGCAGTAGAAACAGAATCTTTCTCTTTTGCCAAAGAGAGGCAAAATATTCAGCACTCACATAAAAAATACTTACACAATTTTATGTGCAGCCGCTTGAAGATGATTAGGCAGATTATAAACATAAAATATCACAGTTTGACTACTAAACTGGATAAAAATGAAGTGAAAAGTAAGGGACATTTCCATTTTTTGAAGAGTTCACTGCATGAAACAGAAGCTTGTACAGAAGACTCTTACTCTTTTGTCTGAGAAGATCATTCAGAAATCATGCTGTGTAAGTTACCAAGCTGTCAGTGCTTTGTCTATAGAGAAACTAAACTAAAACTGGTTTAACCCTTAAAATCCCAGGCTTATGACATACTAAGGCTCATTATTCAGTAACTATATTGACTATGATGCAGACTAGCTGAGTTATTCTTTGGTTATACAAGTGCATATTAAAACTTTTGGGCTGTCAGCAGGACCTGACCATTTAAGGGGTCAAAAGTGTTCACTATGCCCAGTCAGTTACACTCTACAATATAAAATAATGTAATATTGCAAAAAAATAATAAAAAAATAAAATAACAAGGTTTGTAATTAACCAAAATCCAGAATACAAATATAAACCTCAGGGCAGGTGTGCTCAATCCTTCAGGAACATCTAAACATTATAGCCAGATGGATGCAAAGGGCAGTGGCTTTTGATAGCAGACAAAAACATACAGTCAAAAAAAATAAATAAAAAAAGCGAACAAGAATCTATTAAAGACACCAGAGACTTCACAAAGACTGAAAATCACAAGCCAGCTTTTAAAACTGATGAGTTCCAGGTGAAGGAAGGCAGGGCCAGTTATCAGAAGTCCAGTGAAGCTGAACGTGGGAGAGAAGTGGGCAGAGCTTGGAATGTGACATTAATGCTCTTCACCCCAAAAGACTGTGTGAAGAACACAGCTGCCTGATGAAGAAAACTCCTTCATGATGATGATAAAGGTGTGAGTGAGTCTTTTTCTGAATATTCCTCAAACTAGTATGTGTCAGATCATTTTAAAATGGGGGAAGAGGGAGAGAAAGCGAGAGCCAGGCGTTTTGGGCCTATAAGCACAAGCACGCTCAGACAACTGTTACATTCAAGTAGTAATGTAGGGGTTAAACCAGCAGCCCGCACCTCAAGTGCTACAGCCCCAGTTTGCTGATTGTAACTGAGCCTCGTACAGTGGAAAATAGATGCTGAATTTAGCTTCTTATTCTCATTTCCTGTTCTACCTTAAATAAAGTAGCAGTTACATTCAGATGCCTGTATAGGCACTAGCATGTAGTTAAGGCACTATTTAAGGAAGAACAGAAATTCGAATGAAGGCCTTTATTCAGATGACAGTAAATTAATCACAATAATAATTGTTTTTCAGTAATAACTTATACAGTGTAGACTGTAGCGCTATAAACTATATACTGAAACTTAAACCAAGACTTCAATCACAGTTTACAGTATTTTGGGAACAGCATATAGTTAGGACATGGAAAAAAATATGGAAGTGTTATTAAATAATAAGCTATAATTTTCTGTTTATTGGAATTTGTCATAACAAAGACACTATGAATAGCTGTTTACTTTTGGTTTAGATTTGGTTAGTGGTTTTCAAATACGAGGCACTGTGGATGTCAGTTTCTTCTTTCTTCTCAATTATCATGAAATCACGGCTCCATTTATCGTAGAAAATGTCTTCAGTTTTACTGGTTCCTACAAACCTTTTGAAACTTGTAAGAAATTATGTCAGTCATTTCATCTTCAAAGAAATGAATTTTATATGAATGAATTTAGTGACCCCAAACTTTTGAGTGGTAGTGTATATTGGAGAAATATGCACTTTGCTGCAAGAAAAAAAACAGTTAAATAAGAAACACCTGAGGAATTATCTATTACTAAAATACTATTATTATTATTATCATTAGTAGTACTAGTAGTACAGGGTGTCCCAAAAAAATTGACATCATTTGAGATGTGAATATCTGAGTAACTACATGTCCTGGGCAAACAAAATCAAATAGGCTTCATGTTGAACAATACAAGATTTATTTATCAAAATTCGAACCAGAAATTCAGAGGGATGTAGATTTTATAACCGATTTTACAGCTTCACAAATGTAATATCTTCCAATACTGGTGGTCGTCCAGATCCCTTCGCCCTACACAGACAACCTTACTCTTTGAATTTTTTTTTCCCATGTCCAAATCTGCTTTCCAGTTGGTGCATTTTTATTGAATTTTCTCGAAAATGCACTAACCAAATTAAACTTGGTTAGTTTTTACACATTTTTTTTTTATTTGAGATCATTTGAGGGAGAATTGGCTTTGTTATTAGACTACGGAATGATGTCAATTTTTTGGGACACCCTGTATATTTAATATTAGACTGTTTTTGGTAAATAATATTTTAAGAATGTTTGGGGAAGTTGTTTGGAAACTCTTAAACCAGTCTGGCAAGTCAGACTGGACACCAAAGTGAAACTAGTTCGGCATTTCACTGTAGATGTTTCAATGTGGACATACTTCACCTACAGCAGCAATATGACTATATGAAGAACAGCAAAGTTAAGCGCAGTTAACATCATGCTAAATACTATAAACATCAAACCTGTGTGGAAACCTAAAAACAAACTTCATCTTAATGTACTATAGAATTTACATAATTAGACATATTAAATGTTTTCATTATAATAAGGTAGGAGATACAACTGTTTGTGTATTCAGTGTTACATGTGGCCTAAGGGAAAAAAAAAACCTTTTCTATCTATATATAATAAAAAAACTACATGCATCACATTTATTGGCACCACTGCGTTTAGTAACTCACCTCCCTTTGCAGCAATGAGTCTTCTACGATAAGACCTAATAAGATCGGTGAATGCAGAGCAAGCAATGTGAGACCGTTCCTCAAGACATAATCTCTCCAGATGCTCCAGGGTTCTAGGTCCTCTCTTGGGGCTCACATCTTCAGTTTACCATACAGGTTTTCAATGGGGTTTAGGTCAGTGGCCACATCAAAAACATCATTCTGTGGTCACTGAACCTTTTTTTGTGGTTTTGCATTTTGGCTTTTTAGCAGGGGCAGCCAGATTTTCATTTAAAGTTTCTTTTTACTTCATGTACACTTTATAAATGGCTCGTCAGATTAAATAAAAAATACTAATACTTAATGTGGTAACAAGTAAATTAACTAGTTTTATTTAACATCAGTAAATAATTTGAATAAACAATTCCTTTAATCTGTCATTTTTGAGTAGAATAAAAAGTTCAATTGCTTGTTACCACATGAAGTTACCACATGAGGTTGATCTGACGAGCCATTTTTACAGTGTAATCTATGATGCTATGGTTCCTAACAAGGTTCCCAGAGGGATGTTTGAATAAAGGCTTTAAAGGGAGAGGGGGGAACAGAAGAAGCAAAGACAAAGATCCGAGACACTCATGTAAATTCTATGGAATGATAAATGTTACAGCTCCTGTTTGTAGACGTTGATGTGAAACCACACGTACATAGGCTGCCACACTGACACTGATGTTGGTACTCCAAAATGGCTTGTTTATTTACTAAAGCAACCTTATAAAGCCAGGTATCACAGCTACTAACATTCCTTTGACACAGAAATGAGACACAATATGAAGCACCATCTGTTACTAACAGAAAATAAGTGTCCATGGGTTCAGGTAGCTGCCCACCCAGTTTCAGCAATACTGTAAAGTAACACACAGCATAAGAACATTCAAGCATAATAAATGTCTTTAAACAGTTGAGGTCTTTTTAAGAACAGCTATCCATTTTTTATACCATACCCACCTTTGTGTTTGTTGCCAAAAGGCTGCATTTTGGTCTCATCTGATCATAGAATCTCGTTCCAGTAGTGTTTAGCAAACTCTGCATGCTGATGTTTATGGTTGGATGAAAGAAAGTTTTTTTTTGCATCTTCTTTACTGTGCATGAAGCCAAAATACACTTGCATTCTTTTCTAGGCAGGTCACTATTGCTCTATTTGTTTTAAACTTAATTAATTATTGCCCTAGAACTGAATACTGCACGGAGCCCTCATGATGACATCCTGTATAAATAAAAATAATGTGTGGCCACGCCTTATTGACGCATGGGAACGAGATCCTAATGCGTGGCTATTACTTAGTAAGGCATGGAAATGAGATGATTACGTTGTGGCCATGACTTATTAAGGCGTGGGAATGAGATCATGGCTTACTAAGTCGTGGCGACACATTAGGATCTCGTTTCCACGCTTTGCTAAGTCATGGCCACGACTTAATCATCTCATTCCCACACCTTACT